AAATCAATAAAATATATTTTAAATAAATAAATAAATAAATAAAAAAGGCTTTGTCAGAGCTGGCACACTGTGGACAATTTTTTTTTTCTTTTTACTTCCCCCTCTCACCCTCCCCTGCCTTCCCTCTGAAGTTTGTTGGTCTGTTTTTGGACAAATATTTTTAATTCTTATTTTAAATTTCACTGATGTGGTTATAATGTTTATATAATAAATAATGAATTATCATTAAGGAGACTAAAAAGAAAGGAAGCTTGATTCACCCAGCAAGGTAGGGAGACAATGCCCTAACCGGTTTGGCTCAGTGGATAGAGCATCAGCCTGTGGACTGAAGGGTCCCAGGTTCGATTCCGGTCAAGGGCATGTACCTTGGTTGCGGGCACATCCCCAGTAGGAGGTGTGCAGGAGGCAGCTAATTGATGTTTCTCTCTCATTGATGTTTCTAACTCTCTATCCCTCTCCCTTCCTCTCTGTAAAAAATCAATAAAATATATTTTAAAAAAAATAAAGGTAGGGAGACAACCACCCCTATCCCTGCTCAGCCACAGCTTCCTATGACAGCGCCATGCCTGTGAAAAGCGAGCGTTAACAATTCCACCTCCCATGAAATGTGTAAGACGTTAAATGTAAGATGCTGGTTACAAAACAGTATGTAGAGTGTGCTTCCAATTTTATTAAGAAGATATAAATGTACATGCATACGTTCTTAAAAGATGAGATATACAGTGGTTATTTCTATTATTCTGCTCTTGTGTTTGCTTTTCTAAAGTTTTTACACTAAACATGATTTACTATTTAAATAAATGTGGAAAGGTTACAAAATAGTATATAGAGTATAATTCCATTTTATTAATTTAAGGATGGTGATGATACATAGGTAAAAGTCTAGAAGGATATATATGAGATTTATATATATATGTGTTTACATACATGATTATATATACATACTAGAGGCCCAGTGCACAAAATTAGTGCACTCGGGCGGCAGGGGGTGGGGGTGGGGGGTTGTCCCTCAGCCAGGATTGCAAGAGGGCACAGGCCAGGCCAAGGGACCTCACTAGTGTACAATCAGGGCTGGGGAGGGACATGGGAGGTTGGCCAGCCTGGGAGGGACCGCGGGAGGGCTCCAGGGCGTGTCCGGCCCATCTTGCTCAGTTCTGATCAACTGGACCCCAGCAGCGAGCTAACCTACTGGTAAAAGCGTCTGCCCCCTGGTGGTCAGTGAACGTCATAGTGACTGGTCGACTGGTATACTGTCTGCCCCCTGGTGGTCAGTGCACATCACAGTGAGCAGTTGAGCAGCCTTAGCATACATATCATTAGCATATTACACTTTGATTGGTTGAATGGCCAACCAGACGACCAGGCACTTAGCATATTAGGCTTTTATGATACAGGATATGTGTACTTGTCTCTAAAAAATGAATGATTTTTAATTTTCCTATTTATATATTTTAAACTTTCTACAATGAGCAAGTGATTACCTGTATAAAATAAATGTAGCCCTGGCTGGCCCATGTGGCTCAGTTGATTAGACGTCATCCTGTGTACCAAAAGGTTGCCAGTTTAATTCCTAGTCAGGGCACATGCTTGGTTTGCAGACTTGACCACCAGCGAGGGGCGTGCAGGAGGCAGCCAACTGATGTTTTGTTCTCACATCAATGTCTCTCTCTCTCTCTCTCTCTCTCTGTCTCTTCTCCCCTTCTCCTTCCCTTCCACTCAGTCTGAAAATCAGTGGAAAAAATATCTATCCTCAGGTGTATATGTATATATACAAGGTCATTGTGGGGAAAAAAGCCAACAATACAAATTGACAAATTTTTCTTGTATAATATAGAATATGAAGCTCTTAATTATAATCATGTATATATATTTTTAAAAGTTTCATTATTTTTTCTTATTTCAACATTAATACATTATTTATTGGGAAAAATTAGACAGAAATTTGCAAAAATAAGAAAACAAAACCCTCTCAATCCTTATCTATTAGAAATAATCACCATTACCACCCTGGCACATACCCTTCTCATCTCTTCTCCTGTGCATGTACATAAAGTTCACTTACTTAATTTTTTTTTTATTAAATATTTTTTTTTTTACAGAGAGGAAGGGAGAGGGATAGAGAGTTAGAAACATCGATGAGAGAGAAACATCCATCAGCTGCCTCCTGCACACTCCCTACTGGGGATGTGCCTGCAACCAAGGTACATGCCCTTTGACCGGAATGGAACCTGGGACCCCTGAGTCCGCAGAATGACGCTCTATCCACTGAGCCAAACCGGTTAGGGCCACTTACTTAATTTTTACAAAAATGGGATCATGCTATATATACTATACAGTGCACAGCTTCTCTTAGTACTCAGTGGACATTTCCCCACGTCAGCCAATATTCTACCCTGCAGTGCTTTGCAATGGGAGCCCTGCGGGCACTCTGAACACGATAAATGGTTCTTCAGTGTGTGGGGCGACCTTGTGCATTGCAGGAACAGTAGCTATACCATTCCCTCAGCCCCACAGTTATTTTTACAACCAAAAATGGGAGTAATGTGGCGGAGGCATATCTCCCTCCTGGTCACGAATCATTCCTCTTACAGCATCATTTCCTAAAGTGTTTTGCATAGAAGGCTTATAGTATAGGATTATAATAAACATTCATTTAAAAAGGGTTCAGAGGGCCCTGGCTAGTGTGGCTCAGTTGGTGAGAGCATGTGTCCCAGGGCACATACCTAGGTTGTGGGTTTGATCCCCGGTTGGGACGTGTGCAGGAAGCAACCAATTTCTCTCTCTCTCTCTCTCTCTCTCTCTCTCTCAAATCAATGAAAGCATGTCCTCAGGTGAGGATTTAAAAAATTAATGTCTGAAAAGTCTTTGCCTTCATTCAAAAAATAAATAAATAAATAAATTTTCAAAAGGGTTCAGAGGAAAGATGTTTCAGAAATGCCAGCTAAAAAATGTTATACATAGACTGAACGGCGTGGCTCAGTGGTTGTCACAAATCGATTCCCGGTCAGGGCACATGCCCAGATTGTGAGCTCAATCCCCATTGTGGGGCGTGCAGGGGGCAGCCAATCAATGATTCTCTCTCATCATTGCTGTTTCTATGTCTCTCTCCCTCCCTCTTCCTCTCTGAAATCAATAAAAATATAATTAAAAAATATTTTTTTAAATGTCATGCACAGAACACATCATCTTTATGTTTAATCTGATTAATTTCTTAATATGATTCCCTTATAGTGGATATATCGGGAGGAAAGGTATGTACATTAAAGATGTTGAGAAATCATGGATAGTATTGTCCGGATTATGTAGGATGATCTAGTGCAGTGGTCGGCAAACTCATTAGTCAACAGAGCCAAATATCAACAGTACAACGATTAAAATTTCTTTTGAGAGCCAAGTTTTTTAAACTTAAACTATATAGGTAGGTACATTGTTATTAACCTACCTATCTAGTTTAAGTACTGTTGATATTTGGCGTCTCCCCCTTCGCTGCGTATCCCGCGGCCCGCCTGCGCCGCATCTCCCGTCGCCCAACCGACCAACACCCCCCACTTCTTCTAACGCCACTTCTTCAAAATAGACTCGCCCAGGCCGAAAACCGACTTCTGCGCATGGGCCACGAAGTTTCAATCGCACTGTACGTGCGCGCCCGCACGTGGTATTTTGTGGAAGAGCCACACTCAAGGGGCCAAAGAACCGCATGTGGCTCGTCAGCCACGGTTTGCCGACCACTGATCTAGTGCCAACAGATACTACTCAGTACTAGCTAGTACCACTCCTTATCTATTATGAACAACAGAGGACCGCCCGGCAAAGGAATTAATCTGTGTTGTCACATATGAAAAAGGTAGGTCTTATTTATACATTCACGAAGGCTTTTACCTACTGTGTTGGATAAGGCTTTTGGGCCCTATCTGAAAATCATGCAATTTTGGGGACTGTTCTATTCCTCTGGGGTTCTGACAGATGAGGATTGGAATCCCACTTTGTCACATAATGGCTGTGTGATCTTCGGAGAGTCCTGCTTCCCAGCCTTCAGCCTCCTCACCACTAAATGGGAATTTTGAATAGAGAGCCAACAAAATGCTTCTTTTCTATGAGCAAGTAAGTTCCTAGTCCATTTACCTGCAACCCTGACAAAGCTGGAATGTCAGCTGCATTACTAGGCGACATAGCTTCCGGTACAAATGAGCCCTGATTGGTAAGTGATGTCTACACAGGAAGGGCTAGGAATGAACTATAAGTAATTAGTGGAAAACCACAGCTTTTTGCTGGTCCCAAGTGGGTGAATCTTGTAACTGGTCAGTGCCTTTGCTGGAATTCTATGTTTTTGTCTATAGGACTGATATCGATTTAGGGCATAGGACATTGAAGTCAGGGAGTTCCCACCCACTGTGGTCTCATTTCCCTGCACTTGGGCGTTACCTGGGTGGGTAGCTGGATGCGGTGTTGTCCCCTATGAGAACTCTTGCTGATGAGAAAAGGCCTGAGTGTGTCAACAACACTGCGTTCCCTGCCCCTGCATCCTTCTAGATGAGGCCAGTGCCAGGGACAGCCTATCTGGGTCTTGTGAGGGGGGCCTGGAGGAGATAATAATAACAGCCATCCCTCGGGTGGTGAGGATTAAGTGAAGTTATATATAAACAGAACTGCTGGCAGAGGACGCGACAAGTGTCAGCCCCCTTCTCTCTATCCCAGAAAAAAATACCTGTCTTTGGGCTCTTCTCCTTGTTTTGTCCTTGGTGGAGAAAGGCCTGCCTCTGACTTCCAATTGGAACAGTCAAGTTCTTTTTCTTTCTTCTTGGCTTTTTCTCTTTCCTCTCCTTTTCCCCCTTTGGGGGACTCGGGGGAGTCTGAAAACAACAACAACAACATAGCTTTGGGGAGGAAGGAGCAAAGGGCAGGGACAGGAACAACTGCACATTCCCCCAACACACACACATTTATACACAGACTAGTAGCCCTGCGCACAAATCCGTGCGCCATGCACGAATCCATGTGCCAGTAGCTCACTGCTGCCCTCCTGTAGCTCCCTCCTCTCCCCTCCCCTCCTCACAGCTTGCTGCCCTGCCCCCTCCTGCAGCTCTCCACTGCCCACTTGTAGCTCGCTGCCCCACCCTCCTGCTGATCCGTGATCCGGTCATTATTTGGTCCTTCGTTATGTGACGACCATTATATAGGATGTACCTACAATATGCACGTATGTGTGCAAATCCACGCTCTCACCATGGGGACAGAAAGACATCTGCACACACACCTATGCACATGTTTATACAAATATCTCTCTATAGATATGAACAAACACACAGGCAAATGAAATACACACATGTACATGAAAATTTACACATCTATAAATCTCGCACTTGAGTAGACAAACACGGGCCCTCCCCACTAGAGACCATCTGTCATTTATTAAGTCATTCAACAAACACACACTGAGTGCCTGCTATGAGCCAAGCAGAGTCCTGTCACAGGGGCTGGGAGAAAACAGCCCCCTCTCACCCAGCAGCCGCTTCCATTTTTTGATGAGGACTTTGGCCAAAGACACCACCTCTTTGTCTGAGCAGTACTTCCGGACCCCGTTAACGGCGACTCCAATCCTGGTTGTCTGAAAAGCAACAGGGTTAGGGACTGGTCTGGGAATGGACACACAGGATTGGCTGCCCTACCTGAAAAGACCTGCCCCAGTTCAACCACCCCCTTCCCTCAGCCTGACCTGTGCCTGAGATAACCCTGACCCTATAACTGAGGCCCTGACCTGCCATCCTTGGTGAGGGCCAGTGCCCCAGGCTCAGACCCTGCACTGATGGATAGCTTTGGTGAAAAGCTGAGGTGGTGGTGGTGGTGGGTCTGGCTGACGAGGACCCCTCCCCATTCCCGGTCCCCAGGTGTGGTGGAGGCATATCTTTGAGCTCAAGTTTCACCTTAAGATATAGCCCTGGCTACTACAGCTTGGGTCTGTGCTGATTCTTTTTCAGGGCCAAGAGCATCGGGTAAATGTTTGGGGGCTATATGGGCCACAGGGAGGATCAAAAAATGGGGGGTCTCTTCACTGGATCATTGGCCGCTTGTATGCCACAAGCCCAGGGCCTTGGGAATTGGGGTATTCAAGGAAAATACCTCAGTCTTTCTCCCAGACCCAGAGGGCCCCCTGTGCTTGGAAGGTCTCCTGTGCCCATCTAAATGCCCAGTCCCCACCCTCAGAGCACCTCAAGATCCCCCAGCCCTCTCTTCAGAAATTGCCCCCAGACCCCACCCTTTTTTTTTAGCTCTGTCCCCAAAGCTTTCCACCCCCACCCCACCTGGAGTAGCTGGATGGACATCTGACAGCTGTTCAGCTTCTTCAGAAGGTCGAGGGCCCCTTCCTGTGGGAGGCCACAAGGTGAGGGCTGAGGCTGTGGGTTCTGCCCCAGGCCCCTCTCTGACCATCTGGTCTTGCTTGGTAGGAAAGAGGAGGGGAGGTGGTGGGGAGGCGACTGTTCCAGCTACAGGACACAGGCAGCCAGGCAGTCGGAGGACAGGCAAGGGACAGAAAGAAGGAGAGAGAAGGAAAAGATTCTGCCCAGTTCAGCTCTCTACGTCACCCTTACCACCCAGGCTGGGTTCAAGCCCCTCTGAGCCAGGCTTCAGCCCTATCCACTTTCCCTGACCCTAAGCCATTGGTTCTCCTGTTCTTTCTACTGGGTATGCTCTCCCCTTCCCCATCTCTTCCTCTAAAATTAATTACTTTGCAGCTTATTATTATTGCTTTAGTATCCTCCTTTCCTCACTTTCCTACTGTGAGCTTCTGCAGAGTGAGGTGTGTGTGTGTGTGTGTGTGTGTGTGTGTGTGTGTGTGTCTATCCATTATACCTCGATACAGCTTTATTGAGGTATAATGGATATACAATAAACTGGACATATCGCAGGCTACAACTTGATGAGTTTTGACACATGTATACACCCATGAAACAATCACCACAATCAAGATAAGAACACAGCCACCATTCCCCAAAGTTTCCTAGTTCCCCTTTGTAATCCATCCCTCCTTGCACCCCCAACCCCATACCCAGGCCACCACTATTCTGCCTTCTGTCATGACAGATGGGCTTGTATTTTTTTAAAAAGGAATAGTTTTTAGCTCAGCTGGCCTGGCTCAGTGGTTGAGCATTGACCTGTGAACCCGGAGGTCACGGTTTGATTCCCAGTCAGGGCACCTGCCTGGGTTGTATGCTTGATCCCTTAGTGTGGGTCGTGCAAGAGGCAGCCAATCAACGATTCTCTCTCATCATTGGTGTTTCTATCTCTCTCTCCCTCTCCCTTCCTCCCTGAAATCAATTTTTAAAAAAAGGGATAGTTTATTGATTTTTAGAGAGAGAGAGAGAGAGCAAAACATCAACTGGCTGCCTCCCACACGCCCCCTACTGGGGATGGAGGCCACAACCAGGGGATGAGCCCTTGACCAGGAATCCAACCAGCAACTTCCTGGTGCACCAGGTGACATCCAAGAACCCGCGCCACACCGGCAAGGGCTGGGCTTGCATTTGTAAGTGCTGTATATCAGGAGTACTGTAATAGACTCCTTTTCGCCTGGCTTCTTTCACTCAGCGTAATTATCTTGAGATGTATCCATGTTGCTGTGTATATCAACCACTCTTTTTCACTGCTGGGTGGCTTCCATTGTGTGCATACACCACAATTTGCTTATGCATTCACCTGTTGATGACTTTTGGTAGTTTCCAGTTTGGGGCTACTACAAACAAGTCTGCTAGGAACATCCAGGTACAAGTCTTTGTATGGACATACACTTCCATTCCTCTGGGGTAAAGAGGACATTTTAGACCTCAGGGTTCCGCACACAGCCATGACTCCCTGCGTGAATGAATCTAGCAGAAAGCAGAAGGTGGGAGGGGAGACTGGGAGGAGAAGAAAGGAGACTCAGATTTGGAAATCTGCTGGCGGCCAGGCCCTGGACCACCCCTGGCCCACTTCAGCTTTCTCCTTCCTCCCAGCCACTTCCTAGAAGCCAGCCTCGGCCTCCTGCCCTGAGCTTGGTGCCCTGGGGAGCACCAGCTGACTGGGTCCTGTATGCCTCTGCCAGGCTTCCTGGACCACGTCCCAAGGGTGGCCAGTCCTCAGCCTCCCTGAGAGCTTGGGTTCACAGTCTGTATTCAGAGGTGGGGCCTGTGGGTTTGTGTGTGCATCTAAACGTGTGGGCATATAACTCTGTGTGCAACATTAATTAAAGGCTTACTATGTGTGGATACTGTTCTATGTGTTTTACGTGAATTATCTTGTTTAACTCTTACAATGACCCTATGAGGTAGGTACTATTACTATCTTCGTTTTTATAGATGATCTCACTTTCTTAGAAAAGGAATCCAAGAAACAGAGAGGTTAAATAATTTGTCCAAAGTTACAAGGAACAGAGCTGGGATTCAAACTCAGGCATTTGAGGCTCGAATCACTATACATCTGCGTAGGTATGGGCATAGATCTGTCCAGACCTGTATCATCACAGAATATCAACATGGGCAAGTGCAGTGGTATGCTGGTCAATATTTAACCACCAGGTCTTAAGGGGGGGAAAAACATGATTTGTATTGTTTGCTGATTTCTGTGTAAACACTCCTCCCATGGCCAATCTCAAGTTACCAACATGCTGTCACTGAACTGAAGGAGCTATTGGTGAGTAACAGCATTATAGAGTATTCCCACCAAAGTGATGTAATAGAAGTAAATAACCTCTAGACCATAGATGATGGTAAAATGTAGTAAAATAATTAGGAAATGATGATTTTGGAGTATTTATTACCTTTGTTTTAAATATAACTTATTAAAAATTATTTATTTATTTGTAAGCTTACAATTTAATTTTTTTAAGTGATGGCTCTATTTAACAATAGGCTTGCAAAATTCCTGAAACTTCAACCACCAATGTTAAGCCGGTTCCATCTCACCACTGGACACTCGTCTCTGTATGTCCCATTGCATTGCCAGGTGTGTCTCTCTGCACCCATGCGTGGGGCGTGTAATAGCGCCTGTCCAGGTGTGGTGCTGTGAGCATGCAGCTTGAAGTGCAACGTGTTTTTTTTTATTTGTGAAATGATGCCTGCGTTATAACGTCTGAATGTGTAAGCGTAGCTATTGAGTTTGTAGTTTTGCATGTCTGAGTTTTGCTTATTGTCTGCATGCACACGTGTGCCCGTGTAACTGTCTCTGTGTATCTTTCTGTAAATATAACGGTCAGTGTAGCTATCACGTCAGGGTCAGTAACCATGTCTCATATGCAATTATGTTCATAGTCGCTTGTTCAGTTATTGTTGTGTGGTCATAGCTATATTGTTGTAATTGTGTAGCTGTGACTTGGCGCTTGTATGTTGAAGCTGTTTCAATGGGTGCACGCTGACACCGTCTGACAAAAGCCCTAACGTGCGGGGCCTTCAGTAATTGGCAGTGCCCCCTGGGCCTGAGTGGCAACGTGGAGGATCCGTCTTATTTCAGGAAGCGTGTCCTCCTCTCCCTAACCACCCTGGCGGCCCATTTCACTCCTAGAGCAGCCCCGCCCTTCTTGATCACATGCCCAGAGCTCTGTGCCCACTCAGACGCTGGGAGAAGCCCAGGCACAGACGTGGCTGCAGACTGGCTCTGAGCTCCGGGGAACCTGTGGCCAGACTTGCATCTTTCCTGGGCAGAGCTCTGAATACTTCCACAGGAACACATTCCCAGGGACACCATTTCTCTTCCCATTGCATAGAAGAGGAAAGCCAGGCCCAGAGACGGGAGGTGGTGGGCCTGTGGCCATAGAAGAGGGAGCGGAAGCCAGGCCAGTCCCCTCCTTCTCAGCCGGAGCTCTACTCACAACCAAGCTGCTTCTCTCCAGTCTCCTACCCTTCCCCACCCCGTCCCCCACCCCCAC